TGACATGTTACCTTTTTCTGTTGAGAATGTCGATCTCTTAATACTGTTGCAATCAATAATGGTAGGGGTTATACAATTTTCAACTATTTTCTAAGTGACTGTCTTTCTCCTGTTCTAGAATGCCTGAAGTGTAAATTACACCTCGAGCTTTTGAATGAGCTCCTGTTATCTCTGAGTTGGAATGACTTTATTGTAAGTGCACTGTATTTTTTATAGTAATATAAATCTTAATTTATCTCTGTGTAATTTACGTATTATAGAGTTTAATATGGAAGAAACAACCTAATGAAGTTCTAGAAAATTTGAAAGAGTACATCGGCTATAAATACGGCTTGGAAAACATACAAAATGTATCGCATGGATTGGAGTACGTTTTGAATGATAATGGCTGCCTGATTTCATCCAACAACGATATTCAACTGGGAATTGAAGAATTCGGGAGAAACAAATTTTTCATATCTACAGATATATTAAACACAGAATATCATTTTATTTGCATGAAAGACTACTTTCCGTATGTCTTCGAATTTCAAAAGATGTAAGTACAAAGAATATTTTAATACTGTATACCAGTGTTTCCCAACCTTTTTTGTGCTATGCCCCACCTAAGCCTTTCTAAAATTCTTATGCCCCCCTAACATATACAGTGGCTATATGGTTAACTTGATCTCTGGACGAGTCCATTTTCGAATTGCCCCCTTAACAATCGAATTGCCCCCTTCAGGGCATGGGCCCCACGTTGGGAAACACTGCTGTATAGGAATGTGATTTCATGCATAGCACGTGTGTATATACCATAAGCAGCATTGTATGTGTTGTATTTTAATTAATAAAATGATTAAACACAGCAGTTTTCTGTGTTTCTAATTCAGTATCAATTGATAGTAATTAAATGTTCGGTATGCCTTGATGGTTATAACGATTTACGTTGTAAATTACATTATCTCTGATAGGATCCATGCGTGCTCTGTATGAAAGGATCCTTTGCGTGTTACTTCTGAATAACTTTATACATTCTGTATATTGTTTTTATAGGATTACCATCATTCAGCAATCTGGAATCGCTGAGAAACTTCTTCGAGATACACAGGAAGATGTTCGAAGACAAAGAGAATTCTACGAAACCATAGAAATAGAAGAAGAAGATAGACTAAAGTTAGAACATATTACAGGATCTATTTATATACTAATTGCCGGTTATGTAATGTCTACGGCAGGTTTCTTCATCGAGGTTATCGTATACTTCGCGAGAAAGTGCGTAACTCGAATTAAAGCAAAAAAGTTTCGAAGTTTCTGTTCGTGCAAGCTTAGAGTAAACCGAAAGTGAAAAAATTATTAATATTTGCTTTGCTTTTATTGAAAGAAAATTAATATTTAGAAACAATTGCTATCACGTCACTTAATGGTGAATGTGCAAGAATACTACTTTTATCTAATTCTCCCATAAACTCTCTTCATGTCTAAAGTATATGAAAGTGTCAATTGACAGAATTTTATTTTACCAACGAAATGCATTATTTATCTGATTCGCACTAAATGTATCTCTCTATTTCTCTCTATATATCTATCTATATACATACAATAAAATGTGTGTCTGTTGTATTTTACAAAAATTAGTGAGAAATATTTACAAACCCAAAATGGGGTCTAGTAGAAGTAACTTTACACGAGGAGTCTAACTCTGAAAATGAAAATTACTAAATTGGCACTTCTGCTTAGTTATTAATTAACAAAACTTTACCGATATACAATTGGTAATGGCCGGCTGATTCGTTAAGGCGTCAGCCTACCGCTATGGGTGATCCGGTATTGATTCCGAACGGCTAGAAAAAGCTAAAAATTTTGGGGAAGTCCATTTCGATATGTCAAGCCTTACCACTCATCACTCGGTCACTGTAATGAGGGCTTTGTCGAACCCATAATAAGCGTGCTGAAAGAAACCATTTTAGTGCCTTCAGAGCAAAAACAAATGACATACGATCTACAGGTAACGCCATTTCAACTAACAACGAAGATGTACTGCACACGCGCCCAGGAGCGAACCCATAGGAAGTAACAATAGCTTAATTCCTCCTCCTCAATACAAAAATTTTTAAAAATTAAAATTTATTTATTTCAACTTGAAAACATTATTTATTATGGCAAATAAGGCATGGTTTATCGGTCCATTCGCAATACAAGTCTTGCACGTTAATACCAGCGTTAATACGACAGTCCTGCTGTTAATATTAGCGGAGGGCCAGTAATCATGCCCATACAGAAGCTTCGCTGGCGAAACTGTTTTATCAGAACTGCAGCAATAGCTTAGCTGCAGTGCAAGAATATAGCGTTTAAAAAGATTGAGAAAATAGCCCATGTCATAGAATAGTTTGAAAAACATGATTACGAAATTTGAAGAGACTCGAGACTTGCGTGTGTTGCCAAGAAAAAGTCGGAAATAAATTGTCAAAGAAGTCGCTGTTGCTAATATTGACGGAGCCTCCAGTTCTGAATATTCTGGAGCAAGTGATTGACCTGTGTATGGTTGTGGGGATTCCAAAAACATCATGTTTATGGATGAGGAATATTCAATGGTAGCGCAAACACTTTCTTCGCGCTACCATTGAACGCGATTTGAACACGTAATTAATGTCAATGGAGCAAACGTTGAAGACTTTCTGTGATTGACTAAAGTTTAATGTTCCTGACTTGTTTTCGTCCTTCTCTAGGCTCCACATTGTCACCTAGTAGTTAATTTTAAACTACTTTTTTATTGCAGAAATCATTTTTCTGTGGTGTATGTAACGTATATACCAAGGTTTATCAAAATCTGATAAGCAGAATGGGCTCTAATGGGTTCCGAACAGAAGCAGTTTAGTTATAACCATCCTGTATTTTAAACGTCAATATTTCTACTCTCACTAAACTTAAGCGCTTTTGAATTGGTCTTTCAATTAATAGTTTTATACTTACAATTAAGTTTATAGCAAATATTTTTATGCATGAAACAACACAAAGAATTACATAGAAAAATAAAAACAATATTCAATTTTTATAAAGTATAAGATGAAATCATATTGGAATCATTAACAAAACGATGTTTAAATCCAAAACAAACAAACAAAACCGACATTAATAGGGTAAATGGTCACCTCTTATCCTTACACAAAGTTTACAGCGTGTAACAATAGCATAAACTAAAATTTTTTGGTAAATTTAAAAATATACGGAGGACTTGCAATTTAGGGTATAATGCCCTGATTTTGTTTAGACATATTACGGTAAACTTGTATACAGTTTTTCTTGTTTTTCAATACCTCTGCTAAATCGAGGATTGTATAAAATATAGAATATAATCTGTTTGTCATCTGCAGAAAATTAAGAAAATTATTCAATCAAATTATTAAGTAAAGATAATGAAACTGACGTTCATTTCCTTCATATTTTTTCTTTTATTACAATTCTGAAACCTAATAGTGTACAGGATTAAGTCGATTTTTATATTGGGACTTTTATCTGTTTCTATATGAAAAAAAAAACCGTTAAAAACTGTATAGAATTTTACGTGTCTATTAATATTTCTGGCAAATTTCTTTAATAAATTTTCAACTCTAATGTTTTGTACATTGTGGCGGTTCACACCCTCGATATAAATTTCGACTTCTAAGGCTATTAGGTTCCTGAGGTGCAAAAAAGAAATGAAATATGAAATCGTTATTAAGATATTGTTTTTTTTAATTTCATATGAATTATTCAGTGTAGACAAATACCTTTAAAAATGTCCTGTTTTATCATAGAAGAAGCCGCCAATAGAGATGCCCAAGGTACAGTACTTTACCGTATATCTTCATGAAGGAAACCATCTAGATAAAAATACACCATACAAATTTCTAATTGTTCTATATATTCTATATATTCTAATTATACATATTATACAGTATTAATATTTCTTGTGTGTATGTATAAATCAATCATACTGTTTATTCGATAATATAGTTAATTATTATAAATAAATATAATATAATAACCCAAATATACTACTTTTTTTCTTTAATTTTTATTATATTAGAAGTTAAAACAGTTTACATATACACAGAAAGTATTTTCTAACAAATTTCTGATGACTGGAGAGATGAATAAACAACAAGTGTAATATTACATCATCAAGACTTGTCTTTCATCTATCATCTCCAGTAATTGTCAAATACTCCTCCCCATATTCTGTTGACCTTATATTGAAATGTTATTTATTGTGATAGTAATTCAAAAGACGACCCACCAGTGGCCAAGCGGTCTTCATACGCTGAACACTGATCGTGGGTTCGCGCCTCATTCGGACCGGCTGCCACGTGGAGTTTTCCGAGTTTTGTCCACGTCTGTAACGCCTAAATAGGGGCCGGTGTCCCCTAAAAAGACCTCCCGGAAGGCATCCCCTAGGCAGATCGCCCAATTGTAACTTAACGAACATATTAGGACGGACTAATATGTATACAATTCCACAGTAAGGGACAAATATATCAAGACTAAAAAGTCCTGAAGTTTTTCGACTAGTACGGATTCGAATCCGGATCCGTCATAGCGGTAGGCCGACACCTTAACCGTTCGGCCACCAGTCATCATTCGAAACGATAAGAAT